TTTACAAGTAGAATACGTCCAATCAAATTGGAACTCTGGGTATACTACTCTAACACCGGTGGCACTGGTAAATCATTTTTGTACAGGGCTTTGTTGGCGACCATACGGTCGAAAGGCCATGTAGCTTTGGCGACTGCAACATCAGGCATTGTTGCTTCAATACTTCCAGGCGGTCGCACTGCTCATTCAAGATTTAAGATCCCAATTGATCTGTCGGGGTCTAGAACTTGCAACATTAGTAAACAAAGTGGTGTGGGTTCTTTAATACGAGAGAGCAAACTAATTGTTTGGGATGAAGCCCCCATGGCAAAAAAGGATGCCATAGAAGCACTTGATATTGCTTTACAGGATTTATGCGGTTCCTCAGGAATTTTTGGTGGTAAGGTCATAGTTTTTGGAGGAGATTTTAGGCAGGTCCTGCCGGTGGTGCGTCGAGGAAACAGGAGGGATGCTGTTAATGCATGTATAACTGGCTCATACATCTGGTCCTCTCTAGAGAAGTTAAGACTTGTCGAGAATATGCGGGCGCGTTTTGATCCTTCATATACAACTTTTTTGTTAAATGTTGGGAATGGACAAGAAAAGACTTATGATGATAGCTTGATAAAAATACCGGCCTCTCTTGCGCTGCCTGATCCTTTGGACGAAAGTTCTTTGGACGAGCTGATTGAGCTTGTCTATCCTGATTTAGCATCCTTTAGTAATGATAAGTTGTCATCCAATTGTGTGATTTTGACAACCAAAAATTGTTTTGTGGATGAGGTCAACAGTAAACTTATGCCGCTTTCCCAGGTGACCTCGTTAAGTACCTTAGTTTTGATGAAGTTCATAACCCATCACATGCAGCAGAGTATGGTGACCTAATCAACTCTCTCACGCCAAGTGGCCTACCCGAACCTAGGCTACAATTTAAGGTTAATGCACCCGTGATTTTGCTTCGTAATTTGGATACCACAGAAGGCTTGTGTAACGGTACCCGACTATTGTGTAAAAAAAATGAGCAGAAATGTAGTACATGCGCAAATATCAGTTGGGGAGTTTTCGGGTAAAGATGTTTTCATACATAGAATACCTTTCGAGCCACTGGGTGAAGAGCAGTATCCCGTGCCCTACACACGTACACAGTTTCCATTGCGCCATTGTTTTGCGATGACGATAAATAAATCCCAAGGCCAGACACTAGACTTTGTTGGTATTTATTTGAGGGAGCCTGTATTCTCACATGGCCAACTCTACGTGGCTTTGTCATGGGCCAAGAAATCTTCATCTGTTCGGATGCTTATTAAACCACCTCTTTGTACTGAAGCAATGATCAATTTCACGAAAAGTATTGTATATACGGAAGTGCTGGAAGTGGCTAATATCATTTTACCGCCGTGAGTTTGTTGGTTGGCTTAAACGCGTGAGGATGTCCTGCAAGTAGGGGTGTGTTATACGGGTATGTTTTTGCTGTATTTACTTTTTCATTGGTTGGGTTTTGTTTATTTTTATATTGGATTCAACATTTCATTTCACTTTACCTCATTTAAAATTTCATTAAATATAGAGTTATTATGTCTTGGTGGCTGGCTATTGTAGTAGGATTTAAATTCCTAAAATAAAGTTTTGTGCTTTTATGTGAAAAAAAAATAAATCAAATAAAATAAATTATATTAATTTTCCAAACAAATAATGTAATGTTGCTGCGTTTACCCAGGTGTCGCAATCAACGTCATGAGCTCCCTGATTTTTCTCTGTACCAGTGTGGTGGCTGTGGTGCTAAATTAAATGTCGTTGTTCGTTCAGTCCACTTCATATGTGCAGTCTGTGCCTTGTGTTGAACAAGAATTTATCGTTGTGTAGCCAAAAGTTGGGGTACCGAGTCTCTTTTGTTGCTGTTTTGGTTCTTAGAATTATAATCCCAACTGTGACTATGGGTTTCATTTGGCCGTGTCCTGGACCAGCAGCTTCTGGTACTCTACCACCGTACCTTGTTGGCATCAATGTCCAATTCCAGTTCGAGCAGTATGCAAAATATGTCGACTCGCCTTCATGGCCTGCCATTCCAATTGTCAATCCAAGTAAGCACATTTTTTTTTCTTTTTTTTTTGAAAGATATATAATTTTCTGAACCCTTTTGATTGATGATGTTAGTATTTAACTAGGAAGAATTATAGAGTTGATTGATTTAGTTATCAAAAAAAAATATATAATTACATAAATTACTTGCTTCCAATATTCAATATAATTCCGAAAATAATCAAAAACCCCTTTGAGGTTGTACTTAACTGTTAAACTCCTTATGAGTGCACTCTGTAAATTACAAACAAAGTTGGGTCTTTTTTGTTATTATGTTGCACATCAGGGATATCTACTGTAATTAACCTGAAGATTATACTTTTTACTTGTTTTTACGACAAACAATCGACAGCTCTATTTATTCGTTTTGCATTAATATTATTATTTAAGAAGGCACTGTCATTTGAGAGGTGCTTGGTCTTTTGTTATTAGGTTAAACCCCGAAACTGTCATTATCTTTATATTACATATTCTCAAACTGCTTTCATGACAGATATTGACAAAAGTTAGTTGTGTTAAACTACGATTTACATTTGTTATGTGTGTATATATATATACATATATAT